CTTACCTTAAAAAGTAAATCGTCTGAAAGCATCACCCCACACTCAGGTTAATGATGTGCATTTCAAATGTGTGAATGGTGAAAGGTGAGCATAATTGAGTGACGTCATCTCTCAAACAGCACACAGGGTTTTAGTAGAATCTTCTTGCACCAGTTCAGCAGATACAGACTTAAAAATAAAGTTTCTTTCCGAAAGAAGAACCACTTTTGGTTCCCTAAAGAACCTTTCAATAGATGCTTCTTTAAAGACACATTTTTGCAAATGAGATGTGTGAGTGTCAAAAAGCTTTTTAAAGTTTAAGGGATCTCTTCAAAACGTAGGTTCTATCCCAATTAACATTTTTTTCCTATAACAGTTATTTAATTGTATAGTGTATAGTCTAGTGCATCAGGTTTACAGCATTAAGTTTGGACTGAAACTTGCAGACAGTACAGCAGCCACTCAGCCTCCACAGTCTGAAGCACTGTACTGATTAATGGGGAAACCATGGCAACGCCTCAGCCACCGTGGTGGCATGACATGCCAGGCTCGATGACAAAGAGGCGCGTTTATATAATCTCTTCACGGCCGTGGATCCCGGAATGTGCATTAGACCACTGAATTGAGTTGCGTGCTGTCCTTCCTCTTCCGAGGCTACTGGGGGAATTTGAGTCAGAGGCATTTCCCTTCAGTGGAGGAAGCTAGTGCTGCATTCTGATAAAAATAAGCATCAAAAGCAAAGCAAATGAGCTTACAAGATTCATGGCATTTGTGAGAGGCCGAGCTGCGGCTTCGGCTGCTATTTAAAAACTCCATCCAACAATGAAACGACACACAAGCAAAGGCAGCGTGTTTCCCAAGAGACAGTGGGTGTCATTCTTTTATCTGAATGTTGTTTTTCTTCTAGAAAGCAAATCCGCTCTGGAGATTTTGGGTGTGGGTTAAAGGAGTGTTTCACCCAAATATGCTAACGATGCTAACAAGGAGTGAAAGTTACAGGGGAACAGTTAGCATGATGCTAAACTAACTTTGTTAGCATTAACTCAGTAAGTGCTAATAGTGATGGCACAATACCACGTTTTCTTTTCCGACACTGATACCAACATTAAAATCTTGAATATTTTGGTCAATACCAATATTGATAATTCATTCTTAAAATGACTGTTCAAAATGAGATATTTTTCATTAAAGCACTGCACTTAAAGCTGCACTATGTAAGTTTTTTTGTTTAAGAAGGTTAAAAGAAGTATGAAATATAGTGTCCGTGTGCTGCTGTGAGTTCATCGGGCAGGTTTGCTGGAGTTTTTCAGACCACGTCCCACGTCTACATGTTAACATCACACGCACAGGCTCAGAAAGAAGGTCTAGCTCAATGTTTAAGTTCCAAATGCAAAATCAACATTATAATATTAAATAATTCACCTACATTCTCAGACAACCCGTCCTTCACCAAGTTTCTCTTTCTTTGAAAGCTCTTTCAACACACTCGCAATCATCAGATTCATCCACTCAGGGAAGGGTTCCAAAGCCCAATCAACGTTACAATGTTTTTCCACATGTTGCATGCAGTTACACATTTCCACCACAGAGGTCTCCAAATCCACCAAACTTGCATAGTGCAGCTTTAAGATGAGGACCTAAAAGTAGGCTATTATGCTCAAACTACTCAAACAGTCTGCTTTTTTAAGACGAAAGACATGGCTAACAACATGACATCACACAATAGCGAGGTTTCCATTTAAATCTGAAGTTGATAAAAGTAAATATGAATGAATCTTGTTTCCATCAACTACAGTTATGCGCAAAAATGAGAGTCTCACTTTGCCATCAGCCACTGAATTATTGGGAGCGTCAGATGATTTAATGATTGATGATTTTCATCAGTCTCTATGTTTGTTATTCTCAGATGGGGCAAAAACATGTGACTTTTGTTCCTACAGTGGCATCAGTTATGTGTCAATCAATGTTTCTTCTTTACCAATAACCCAACCTTTCAAGCACATAACATTAATTTGCACCATTTTTTTCTAATCTCTGACTTTTTCATCCAGGTTTATTTATCAGCATTTTCAAAATTTATTTTAAAGAGGTGGATGAAACCTCCTTTAATGTGAATGAATTCTATTTCAGGCCAGATTTATTACAGCACTTTTCTTCACTCTGATATCTGATCCAGCATTTTCTGCTGCTATCAGCCTTATAATATATCTGGTATCGGATCACTGTCATCTCTAATTACTGCCTATAGGTGTGGGCAATACAGCAAAAATATCTTATCACGATACTTACAGACATTTTCACGATACACTAAATAAAATACTAGGCGACACATTTAAATACTGCCACCAGAAATTCTGCACAAAATCTGACTTCATTTACTGCAGTAAAAATCAATTAAACAGGATTAATTCTGTTCTCTTTTTAATGAAACATACATATTTTCAGTGTTCTGTCTACAACATCCTCAGAAAAGCATACTGTGTATCACGATAGTAAAATGTATCACAATAATGATAAAATATCATCATATTGCCCGCCTCTAATTTGTGACATATTTTTCCAGATTCCTTTAAAGCCTGAAAAGAGACGAGACCCTAAACATCTGTTTTGAATCTGATCTCAATCCTTGTTTTCAATTTGTACAGCTCTTTTCATAGTACTCACTGTCACATCCAGGTCCAAACCCCTAATGAACCATCCCTAATGTCACAAGGACAAAAATTCCCAGGGAACATATGAGAACGAGCCAAGACTCAAAAGAGGAACCCATCCTCAGCCTGACACCAGATAATTACAAGCAAAGGAAACATGAATGAACTTTACATAAAGCAGAGTCTTCTCGTTCAAGTGTTCATTAAGATCCATGCAAATCAATTCCATGCAAAACAAACGAGGAGATTCAAGAGGAGGCCGACAGAGTGAAAGCACTCTTACCATGGACACTGCTGTTTTGCTACTTTAACAAACTTTATTTAAAATAAATACCAAAGACATAAACGCAGGGCATGTTGAGGTTCTTTATTGCACAAGACCAACACAATAGTGTGGCACTATAATTGCTAATCTGGTTTTAAAAAAGCAGATGTATCTCAGAAACACTGTTCTGGCCTACTCTTGAACAACTACACTCAAGCAATTACAGGCAAAACACATTTCAAATGAAATAAAGAAGGGAAAAATAATCGAATGCCAGAGTTTCCCCACTCCTAAAAGTGAATGCTATAGATGCCCGCAGGACAATCATTATTAATGCCACTGCTAATGCTGTTCTCGATTGATGACACTGTGATTTCACAATGTTCAAAGTAAAAAGCACAGCAATTCACAAAGAGCTAACACAGCATTTTCGCCTTCTCATAATCATGCCTGTGATTAATGTGATCTCTGGAGCCCCATTTTGAGCCTTGCTCATATATAGATTGATCGAATACCCATTGTATTACTATGAATTATTGATGATGTCCTACAGCATTTGTGGCTTCGATGCCGTAGCCTAATATGAATGTATCAATAGAATAATTTGGTTTATTACTTACGAGCGAATGCAGGAATGTTTCATCACAAATGATAGACGGCACCGTGAGGCCTATTATTATTTGCCATTTTAACACAGCTTGGAAGACTTTCACAAGAACAAATACATATAATGCATTAGATTCTGCACTCGATTCTGCTATCAACATATGCACGGAAAAAGCTTTTAATACAAATACAAAGTTTATATCAGAAACTCAACTTGAAGTAAAAAGTTACTAGTACTAGTAGAAATGGTACTTGACATGTAAAGAATCAAATTCTTGCAATAAAATACAAATTTTTCTAGCATGAAATGTTATAAAAGTTTTCCCAGTTCATTTTAATGGGGGGAACATTTTTATTACAACTTTCACAAGTAAAATTACAAATGCAATAGTTTCAATTCTAATTATTACATTTGAATTGATTTCTTGCTAGTTTTAATGTGCAAACTGGATCCTCACATGTAAATATATATATATATATATGTATATATAAAAATTAAGAGTTACATTTTTGTAAGAATTAAGTTTTTTATTTAAGTCAAATGTTTGAAATTTGCTTTAGCACATGTTAAAACTTAAAAAATATAGTAAAAATGGTTTAAGGCACACAGTTGGACCTTAAAACCACTGTTGTACCTTTGAAGGTACATTTACATTGTTTGTACCTTGATGAACAAAAATATACCTGCACAGAACCTTTATTTCTAACAGTGCATCATGGAAATGGATTCAAAGCTAAAACAACTTGCCACACACTTACAACTGTTGATGGCAGAATGAAGGATGGATAAATATACATGATATGCATTTGGACTTATTGGGGAAAATGTCTCTCCTAAGCTGTTAAAATGGCAAATAATAAGCCTCATGGTTTTCACCACAGGCCTATAATAGTCATTCATTCTGTGCTGAACATGTTTAAATTTTACAATTTTACTGCTTTTTTGTTAAAACTGGATTAAAAGCTAAACGGCTTTGTACACATATGAGGCAAAAAGGAGGAAAATGACAAAAACTGACAGAAGTCTGAGGTGTGACTTGCTGCCATCCTTGTGAGGGAACTCCAGGTGATGGAAGCCTGGACAGCCTTTTGTTTTTTTTTCTCAGTGGTCTTCTCCACACTGTGAAGCTGACAGTGAGGTGTAGCTCCTGCCATGTTTCCACACTCCGTGTTGGGCTGCTGCTCTTACCATTACGTCACTCATCCATGCTGTGCTACGAGGCTATGGAGGCGAACAGGTGTAGTACTGGGGGCCCTGACCAATTTCATACACTTTACCAGCTTCAGTTCCAGCTGAATAACAGACTTACAGTAAAGCACATCACCGCGCTGAGTGTCTTCACATTACCGTCATCCCTCACACAGCGGACTGACGGCACAGCTCCGTATCTCAGTCCTATCAGCGCCTCGAAAGACACGCTAATAGGAGCTCGACATGCTGAGTCCGCGTGTCAGTTATAACATCCAGCGACCCTACCGTGTCATTAAAACGCACTTACCCTCAGCTGTGGTGCTCTCCTCTCTGTCCAGCCTGATTATCCCTGACCCGACTGCCCTGCAGAAGGTGCTGCTACAGCCGGCACTCACCAAAGAGGCGGGGAGCCATCGCTGACGGCCGGATCACGGAGCCGTGTGAGTGTGAATGAGGAGGCTGCTGAAATCTGGACGCTTAAATGTCTACATGTGTGCGTGTGTGTGTGTGCGCGCGCGTGCGTGTGTGTTTCCCTGGCAGCGTCGCTCTGCAGCGGCGGCGGCACGGCGCATGCGCGGAGTGCGTGATTCACAGACCACCACCCCAGCCCACGACGGATCATGGACGGCATGGGTGGAATCTGAAGAGGGGCACACATGGAGGAGATGGCCGAGTGAAAACGCCTCTGAGTTGGGCGAGAAAGTCTAAAATGGCTACACGTGTTTATTTAATACGAGTGGCAGGGTTTCCTGTGTCGGGGGGCTTGTCAGACGTGGTTGGGGTCGTGAGAATCCTCTTGTGGCCAGTGTGGGAAAAAGGGGGCTCGAGTGATTCAGATGTGTTGCTTGTGTGTATGTGTGTGTGTGTGTGTGTGTGAGAGAGAGAGATTGTGATGTAGTGTTTGTGGATGGAGGTGGGGGTCCATCGTAGAAACCCATTCAAGTGGAAAAGCAGCTCCATTCACACAGCTCTGAGAGACAGAATCAGGCAGAATCCCTGTACAGCAGCTTTCTCTCAGCACACATTCTCACACAGCCAGCCCTCTTCATCGCCTCCTCATCTCTGACAAGATTTCATGAATAAATTAGCCAATTAGTAAAAAAAAAAGTCCCAAATAAACCCATAAGAAATAAGAAACCAACAGGTTGGAACCAGACTTTTTGGGGCCCTAAGCAAGATTTTCTGTCCAGTCTTGCTAGCTAACGTACTGTAACACTGAAGGCCAACTAATAACAATAGGCCTCATTCACCAACCGTTCTTAAGAAGAACCCACTCACGCAGTTTTCACGAAGATTCTGACATGCACCAGAGCTTTCTTGTTTGGGATTTGTTCTTAGATAAGAACTCAATCAGTGCACACTGAAGAGCACAAAGGTGCGAACACCTCATGGATCTGATGTAGGCTTTTTCTTAGGAGCTTTCTCAAGAATAAATTGAAGAAAAAACTTAAAAAGATATTGGTGATAACATTTATAACACGCTAATTTATGCATTGCTCATGATGGGATGCTTGTTTGTGGTTCTAATAAGTTACACTTTAAATGACAGATAACCTTCTCAGCATTCTGGATCCAGCAGTCTGTCTCACGATGCAGTTTTTTGCTTACATAGCTAACTTTAAAGGAGCAATATGTAAGATGATGCAACCTGTCAAATTCATACTCCACACTCCAAATAGGGGGCAACATATCACCAGAAAGTTGTGGCATCCATCTCTATCATGAGAAACAAGGAAATGCACAGTTCCTCCCACTTCACTGTCCCCCTTCTTACTAGTCTAGAAAAAATGTTGTGAGTTCAGCATCAAACTTCATCCCTGTATGTATATATATGTATATATACAGCCATTGCATTTACTAAATAACCCTTGAAGCAGACCTTTTAAAGGGCATACTGTCCTTTTTTTCTTTTAATTTGAGCTAGAGAAGAAAACACACACAACCTTAATGGTAGTCCATGTTCCTCTGTGCTTAACTGGTTTGGAGTTAATATGGAATACAACAAACTGCGATTAAGGTGGACTGAACGTTGTACCTACAGTTTCACTTATTAACTAACTTCAAATCTGTAAAATATGGCTTATGAACATGCACATCAGTGTCTCAAATCAAACAGGAATGCCAAAAGATCTCCTCTGCATATACATGTAGAACTGTTAAATAAGACCATTCAAAAGTGAAATATATCACCGACATTTTCACAACAGCACATACATAATGAGATATCAAAACAAATTTATAAATACATCACAATTGCACTCAAGTAACCACACCTCACCCCAAACAAACCAAAATACTGAAAATTCAAAAGAATACATTGTCATGCCAGGAAATGGACAATGAAAAAAAAAAACTCTAGTCTTACACTAAAATCAACCGAATATGTCCACATGGTGGTGCTGTGACACTACAAAAGTACTTTGCAAATGTACTTGAGGACGCCAGCCTTCTCACAGAGCTGAACTGTCACTTTGTCAAAGTCCTACTCAGTTTGGAACTAAACTGAATGGAACATGTGCCGATATAAACATTTAGTATCACGATAAATAACCCAAACCTTTATCACAGTTTACAATGTTATCACAATATCGTATGTAAAAAATAAATAAATGTATCACTCAAGTAGAATGTTCAGAAAGTCATTTTGTTTTGATTGTTTTACATTTTGGGGATTTTTGTCTTGGGGAAAAAAAAATCTTCCCTGACGGCATTTTGTATAACAGCACAGCAGTCTTTGTTCATTCAGCAGTCTTAATGAGCATCAGGCCTTTAGTTTCCTTTTTTCTATTAGGCCACATGGTAGATGTTCCAGATCAGACAGCTCATTGAGTATAAAAGGACAGCAACTTTTACTGTGAGGGGTGAATGTGCTCAGACCAATATCATACTAAAACAACTGTACAAACATCAAATAGAATGGGGTTACACTGTGGCAGCATATTGTTAATCCACGTATGTAAAAAATCAAGTTGTTTGACAGAAATGCAGTGACGATATTTAAAACTGTCCATGATAACAACATTGTGTGTGGTATACCTTATACAATATCAGCACATGTCTAGTTCTGTGTTGCATATTCAAGGAAAAAATATAAAGCAAGTTCATGGAGCATGCTGTTTTATAAGCACAATTCTGTGCAAATGACATGTCGATGCTTGGCAGTCAATAACATATTTAAGTCATTACATCCACCAAGTTTGGTTCCAAAAACATGCAGACATTAAAGGAGAAACCCAAGTAGAGATTTGAGTGGTAAAACACAAAGTTAGAGTCATAGTACTGGGGTAGGTTCTTCCATCGTCCTTGTTTCTATCAATCAGACGCTGCTGATGTGTTCCATATGGCTGGGAAGGCTACTGTTTCTGTCTTTCAGCATCTCATCTGATTGTTTATGCTCTTGGTTCAAGTCTAAATCCTTAATATGTGCTGAAAAGCCATTTCCATTAGTGTCCGTGAAGCTCCTCTCACACAGGATGGGGGTCGGTGAGACAGAATAAACCTGGCAAGCCGAGTTGTTCAGAAGGGGCTTTGTCTGTTTGTGATACCTGCAGTGCAGGTAACGAGAGAAGGCATGGCGGTAAGTCTTGTTGAATAGAGTGTAGACCAGCGGGTTGACCCCAGAGGAGACGTAGCCTACCCACACGAAGAGATCCATCAGCCTGGACAGGTGCTCGCAGTCGTCCCGGCACACAGCAACCAGCACGTTAGTGATGAAGAATGGACACCACATCACCAGGAAGAGGAAGAAGACCATGCCCAAGACTTTTGATGCCCTACGCTCGTTCTTGATTGCCTGTGTCATGCCTCGCCTACCTTGGCCTTGAGGAGCCATGCCCGCATGGCCTGTTAGCGGAGAGCTGAGGGGCTGGACGGCTCCTTTGCTCTGGGTGGTGGGTGGTTCCTCGTTCAAAAGACTGATGCCGCTGATGCTGGGCTGGGGTGAAGGCTGCTTGGGGTTAGTATCAGCATAGCTGTTGCGGTCACGGGAGAAAGTGGCCGCGTGCTGTTGGAGGAGCCTGATGGTGAGGCAGTAGCAGACCACCATGATGAGGAGGGGGACGAAGAAGGCCACAAACGAGCCCACCAGCACAAAGCATGGCTCGTTCAGCACACAAGTGTCATTCACAAACACCTTCTGCTCATCCTGCAGGCCAATCACTGGGATGGGCATGGAGACAACTGGAAAAACAAGAGTGGAAAGAAGGAGGAGGAGGGAGTGAAAGGACAGAGAAGAGGCCAAAAGTGAAAAAACATTTCAGCAATCTGGTCTCACTCTAGAAAATGAAAGTTACACGGACCAGCTCTGAAGCAATTACCTTCTTACTCCTGCTGATTTTGTCTTTTTTTAGTAATGCTTTGAAGATTACTCTGTATTTTGTAGGAATGGCATGATGCAGCTTTTTCATTTCTGATAAAGATATTGAAATCTTGAGTATTGGTTGATATTAATAATGATTCGATAGTTTTTAATGATAAACTTCAAAGCTTTTAAATGATTTTAATTAAAGCACTTGACATAATATGATCATCTAAAAGTAGGCTATTATACTCAAACTACTCAAAGTCAAAGTCAACTTTATTGTCCATCCTTTGCACCACACGTGTTGAGTGGGGAGCAAAATATAGTTACTCCAGGACACAGTGCTGCGTTTAACATAGCAGACAGCCATGCAAAAAGCAATAAATACAATAAGTACAGAGAGTAAATTATACAAATACTACTCAAACAGTCAGTACACAGCTCACAACATGACATCACACAATGCAAGTGTGGAGTATTTTAAGATAGATTTCTTACAGGATTGGATCAGATTCACTCTTTTTTCCATCCAGCATTTACTGTTGATATCATCTCAATGCCAGTTCCCATCAATGCCAAAACACCATCTCTAGTATTCTATATAATTATCATATACACTGTAAAAACTAAAGGTGCCTCAGATATCCAATATGGTATTAAAGGAACTTAAAAACACTATTAGGTGCCATATAATGGGGTTACTGGAAAAACCCTAGAAAGTTGACAAGCTCTTGCAGCAACCTCTGACTACCTCACTGGGTTACACATCAAGCACTATGCTTTGGCTCTAGGTTCCAGGAGGAACCCTTTTCTCAGTGGCTTGGCATGGTTTTGCCAAATGGGAGGGTAGTGCAGCCTCATACTGACTCTGCTGCCTTGCTCTATCCACAGTGTGTCACTGGTGCTAAGTTGCACTCTTACACAGCACCCCTGCTGCTATTTTACCGGTGGTCATCCACGGAGCTGATAAAATGAATGTTTCTCATATCCTAACATTAACTGCTGTCATGACCATTGTTTATGTAGTTTCCTCTATTCTCATGATACACACAAAAGTTTCATGAGTGCTAATCGTTCTCTTTTGTTTAGATCCTTCAGTCTTCTAAACTTAAAGTCGGTGTGAGTGCATACGATGAAGGAACATGACAAAACAGCTGGACAGCACATATTGTTGGCATGAAGCACCAACCGAGCCCTTTCACAAACAGCCTGTTCAAAGACACAATCAGCACAGCATTCAACAAATAACACTCCAGAAATGAGATAAACAAAGTCACAGAGATCATAACAACAAGAATAACCAAAATTCATACAGCTATAATAAACTTACCAGACTGAAAACATGAAAATACTGCAGCATAGAATCATTTGACCTCTTTTTGAATACACACCGAAACTGGTCTTTGTCCTGTTTAAACATGAATTCTGTCCATTTAACATTTCATTTTTCAAAATGAGTTCTCTCTCATTAGTTCTCTCTTGTTGGGAGTCCCATTTTCTCTAGATCTTTCAATAATTTTTTGAACTCCAGTGGAAACTCTTATTTTTCACTTATTTTCCATTGAGTTTTCCCTTCCTTATGCAAGTGGATTATCGAATGTCCTCAAAAACATCTCCAGAAAAATGAATAACTTCTATTTAATGGCTTTTAATTGGAAATGAAATAAATAAAGAGGGGATCTCTGACTTTTGCACAGCACTGTTTATGGTAGATATACCTGATAATTTGGCCAATGTGTGTAGGTACAAGGCAGTGTACATAATCAGCAACAAACAATATCTCACACAGCCACGTTGAGTGCTTTGCTGCAGACGTCAACTGTCAGATGTAGCTATACAATATTCTTCACTTAGTCTGACTGCACTCAAAACTGTCATGCACTAAAGGCAAAGCATGTTCAAAAAGCACAAATTCCACTGCATGCTGTTTTTTCAGGACTAGGATATCTTAAAACACATGGTGCTGGTGAAGGAGGAGTGCTGATGGAGGTGGAACCAGGACGCCTGCAGGCCTGAGTGGGCCATAATGGCCACTTCTGTCAGTCCCACTTAGAGCTGTTTCTCCAGGTAGAGATACAGACAGCATCTCTGACAGCCCTGGGAAGTACACAGGAAACGGTTTGATCTGCCAGCCTGCCTGCTGTCATTAGCTAAAAGGCCGATGTTACATAAAGTACAAAACATTGACAGTCATATGGAGGATAGTGGAGTGGTGGTCATGTCTGTTCTTGGGTTATTTAAAAGCTGCTTGTGGTTACTGACCGATGGAAACACTGTTTGCCTGGCTTGGATACTGAGTTCAACTGCTTCTTCAAGGGTGCATTCAGGTTTTAATAGGCAATAAGATCTTACCTCAGACTATATTTAGGATCTGTATATGATATACAAATTACAAAGGGTCAAATTTGCTAGAAGAGGCGCAAATCATCGGTGGTCTACAGACAGTCACGTGCCAGGCAATGTCAGTTCAATACACTCATCTTTTATTCTTTTATTTCACAATAAAAGATGGGCATGGCCAATTTAGCAGGTTGTACGCAACCAACTTTCATGTAAATGAACACAAGACAACTTTGGAATCAACCTATGACCAGTGCAAGGTAAACCCAGTTTGCTTTTCATATTGAAGCCCATTATTACCAAGTCCAAGTTTTTACCGGTATGTTTCAGGAAGCAGTCCACATTTATCCTTTTTATGTTGAAAGTTTGACTCTTCATACTAAAATAATGATTTATTTTTAAGGCTTTTATTTGTTATATCAATATAATGAGTTACTACTTATGAAGAAGGTATAATTATTTAGAGACAATCTTGAGGATCTTGAGTATTTTGAGAAAATAAATTTTTTTATCATGTTTTTAAAATGTGAAAAGATCAAACATTAGCCAAAATTGGTCACACTGCTTCCAGAAATTGGGGGAAAAACAACTTTTTTTTTACCTTGCAGAAATGGCGTCTCTGATCAACAACTAAAGCAGCCAAAATGAGATAAGCTTCTAACAGGTGATGGTTTTTACAATAATGAGGACTTAAGTATTTCAAACCCCATCGTGAAACAGTTTATATCAAAGCTAAACAACAGCTAAACATAGGTGCACTCCACCAGGCTCTGTTAGTTTACATACACATCATTCTGGAGTAATTCTCCTGAATTTTTAGCACTATGGTAAAAAGGAGCAAAAATGTTTGCTTTGTTTTTTTAAGACTTTTATATATTTTTTACTGAAAACGATTTCCTGACTGAAGAGCTCCAATACAGTTCTCTTATATTCTCATTGTACAATGAAACTGTAAGCGACAAATTCTTTTTTGTCATGGCCTCTTTTGCTCATCTTTATCAAGGCTGCCAGCAATTCTGGAGAGCACTGTATGTGTGTGCGAGCTAAGCACATTCTCACCAATGGAAATGGTCCAGACTACTGTGATCTTGGCCATGGCCCTGCAGGGGGAGTTGGAGCGGCTGTGTTGGATGGGGCTCCGGATTCCGATGTAGCGGTCCAGAGAGATGGCACACAGATGCATGATGGAGGCTGTGGAGAAGAGCACGTCCAAGAAGATCCACATGGGGCACAGCACTCGGGGGAGGGGCCAGGAGTTATCTGAGGATACACACACAGAATAAAACCAGTGCAGAATCTATATAAATGTGGTTTCTATAGATAGATGTATTATTGCCATCAACATCATCATCATAAATCTCAGAGCTAAACTGAAGCTTCTTGTGTGTGAGCAAAGTTTCTGAGTCTTTTCCTTTGTGTGAAGGCTCTTTCACTGGTTTTGACCCTTACATTTTACAGAGTTTTGTTATTCAGAATTTTGGCCTGATCTCTAGTAGCCTGCTTGCTACTACAGCTTGGTACTGATTTTGAACCAGCAACTGTTTATTGACTGTTTTTTGGATTGTGTTCTGGACTCCCTCACACTTGTATCCTGCCTCCACAAGTGAATCATTATACTGGGCTAAAAAACTAAAGTCATCTGTGTGGGCATGTGCTAGGCAATGTCAGTTCAATACGCTGATCCTTTATTCTTTTATTTCACAAACTAGGGCCTAGTGTGAAAAATAAAAGTATGTTTATGGGAAAGACAACAATTATGTCATCTGCATTCAGTGAGCTTATTTAATTAGGGTTTTGCATCTTTGCTGGCTTTTTTATGTAGATGAAGCATCTGGTAGATTCAACAGTTTAGTATTCCACCGATTTTAAGAATTTCTGAATAATTCAATGGCTGAGACGTAAACATAGTCATTCAGAGTGGTTTGAAATCAAATGCTCCATTCTATCTAAAACCACCAGTGAACCCTGTGTTTTCTGACTTTTTATATGCAATGTTAATAATGTCAATATGTATATTTGGAGACTATTTTGCCTGACAACACTCTCCCTGTACCTATCCACCATCAATGGATTTTAAAAATACATTTCAAGCCAAAATTTTATCTCAAAACTATCATAAAACAATGGCATCAGGCAACATGTTACTAATCATTTCATCTACTAAGTTTCTGGGAGGGAGCTTCATCATAATCGGGATTCAGATGTCTGGTTCCTATCAGCAACACTGTGAATAATTCTGACTCAGTAAGTTTCTCTAGAACAGAGCATTTCACATCAAAGATTTCTGAATGAGTGTTTACATCTTGAGCTAAAGGCTATATAAGGTGTGGTATAAAACCTAAAAAGAGCAGTTATAAATTAATAGAATTTGAGTGGGTGACATTTTAGAGACTACTAAATTGTGAAGAGTCATTTGTAAACATTTTGGAATGAAATGGATTTCTGCTACTAAAACATGATCAACCATGGTCCAGGAGATCTACCTATATATAGACTTTAGCTTCACCCCTAATCAGCTCTACCTGATCCATCTAGCTGTTGCATTCTGAAGTCCCTGGTTAGCTGAATAAGATGTAATAGATTTGAGTTGGAGGCAAAACCTGAAGTTCGATTTCCAGGAGTAGGGTTAGTGACCACTGATCTAAGTCATAATAAATACAGACAGTTTTATTTAAAACATACCACATTACACACTGCAGTAACAAATGATTAACATCATGAACAAATGTTTTGAAAAAACAAAGGAATTGATGGAAAAAGTATTCTGATCTCTATATTTATTATATATTCATATAGTTTTAAAAGGGATTTCTAAAAATTTGGAGCACCATCAGTACACAACCAAGCAGAACATTTAGAAATGGAAGAAATTTAGCACCACTTCTGTACAAGTGCACACTGTAATATCCTCTAACAAGTTGCAAAGAACCTTATGGTTCTAGGCATCTGACACCTACGCATCTGCAGACATCTATTGCGCTTGATAATCTCTGATAAGTCTACCTTAAGAAAAACAGTGAACTAGAGACGTGCTCATTGGACGTTACATTTTAACTCAAAAAAGTTAGTGTTTGGGCTGCCTTAAAATTTTGAGTTCATTGAATTTGGAAAAGTAAGTCAACAGAACAAGAATCTGTTTTATGCTCTATAACGTATTATTTCAAGTTAGAATAACTGATGGTAACTAACCTTCATGTTAAAACCCCAGTTTGACAGTGTAAGATGAAACCACAGCTCTCAAATAAAACACTGCTCCCTGTCTCAAGCTTGATAAAAACCACCTGAATATTCCATAGTGCTGCAGGAACAATGTTCTGTGAAGGTGAGATCTATAAAGAAAAGCTTTACTTTTTGGTACATGGCTTCATGTTTGGTGAAAAATCAAACACTACTTATCAACACCAAAACCTCAACCCAACTGTGAAGCATGGTGGAGAGAGTTTAATGATGTGATGTGATGATTGTACTCTCTCAGAAACCAATGAATTCAATGTTGTATCCAGAAATTCTGGAGCAGAACATCAGGGCATCTGCCTGTGGTCTAAGATTCTTAAGAGATTGGGTCAGACAACATAGAAACCATACAAAAACACAAAGGTACATCAATAACAGATCAGCTCAAACAGAAGAAATTCCATGTTTTTAATGGGTGAGTCCTGACGTCAATTACATTAAAATACTGTGGAGTGATATGAAGCAGGCTGTTAATGCAAGACATCCCAGAACAACCTGAAACAGTTTTATGTGGAAGAATGCACAAAAATGCCTCAAACAAAAAGTGCTTGGCTGAGGTTACTGAAAATATAGTAGGTTCCACTAGTTATTAAATACACTAGTACACAAGCTTTCCCCATCAACTACTTTGATTATTTCTCCCTTTTGTTTATGCATTGTTTATCAAGTAATGCTAATTTTATTTACTATTATGATTACTATTGTTACTATTACTATTTACTGTTTACTATCATATTTGATCACATTTTAATAACAACTTAGGGAAAAATCTAGAGAACTCCAAAGGGTTCACAAACTTGTTTTCTTATATCTGTATTTAGAAGCACTATAAAGTCTGAAGTGAAGTGAAGTGTGTCAGGACAGCATGTTTATCTTAGGGAGGAGAAAAAGCAAAACAAACATAAAGAGGATAAAAGCACACAACTCCCACACAGAGAATTGTTCACTATTGGACAGAGTAGTAAGAAGTACACAAAGGTGCACTCCTACGCCTTTATTATGTTTCATATTTTCAGTGTGTATGAGTGGAGAACTGCTAAGAGCGAAATTGGTATAAACAGATTCATATCAATATGTTCAATTAGTGTCCATGGTGACTCAACACGGAGTGGTATCTATAGCATACAGATCTAATCTACCACATGCCACTACCATCAGTTTATTTTCACCTTCAGTCCACTTGAAATGTGGGTCAGTGCGCAGCCCAACTGTGTAGCAACGGTGGAATCTTGACAGGATGAAACAGCCTCGAAATCCATATATAGGTCATTGCTGAGAGACAAATACATTAACTTATTCAAATATGACAGCGATGGCCAAAAGGGATACTTTACTCTCAAGACTAAAGAACTGGCCTGACACAGAAATGCTCACTTTCCCTAAAGACTTGCTGCTCAAAGAATACCAGCCATTTTATTTTCAGTGTGGAACCATCTGATCATTATTGCAACATCATCCATTGCAGTACTGATAGCATGGAAGTGTGCAAATTAAACTAAACTACTAATTAAGTTTTATTGTGTGATAAGAGCAAGGCTGGTGTCAGGGGATCATTTAGCCATCATGCTAAAGCCACTAGCAGCAGGAGGCAAATAACAATTAAAGCGAAACTTTGCTACAAACTTTGACATTTGATAGAAAATGCTAAATTGATTAACATGATTGATTGCATGCATCACTTCGTATTTGATGCATTACAGGGATGTGCTTTGTGTTGTGGGAAGATAGCGGACTTCCTAAACAGGTAGACGTTTACTGATTTGCTGCAAATGTGGCTTCCTAAATATTTGGCGCCTTTTTTTTCTCTTTGTGGCCCATGGATAGAGCCTCTTCCCTGGATCGTCCCATGGGTTTTAAGGGCTGTGCCCAGGCCTCGACTTCTGATGAGAACTTTATAAGCACCTCATTTCAACCTTGTAATACGCCCATTAATCCTGACACTCTCCACCTCGTTTCTGAATGTCCACTTCATTTCTACCTACAGTCACTGCTTAGGAACTGTATTACTGTCATCTACCATCTTGGTGAGATTTTTCAGTTTTTTTCATTCAAGTTTTCAGTTTTTTATTTGTTTGGAATGTATTTTGATTTTGAAAATACAGATATCCAAAAAATGAGATACCCTGACAAAGTTTACAATCCCTATTTCTAAAGTCAAACACAATAAATGTCAGCCTTAGTGTAAAAAAAAGTTGCTGTGTCATATTCAACAGCAGTGGTCTGATTTGTATAAACATATTTTAATGCCCCCCTGTGGCAGTATGCTTTGGCTTACAGGTTTTTGGCTTATAGGTTGCTTGATGGTTAGGTTTTTAAGTTTGCTGGTGTTTTTCCTCATCCAGCACAGGCATGTTTAGAAACTGTACCATCTGGCAACTTGCTATTTTCTTTATGCAGCAGATCAACACAGCCACGTCAGAAAAATATAGGAGGCTTGTTTCTAGAACTGTCTATGTGGATATTTTAAATGAATAAGAAGATAATATATTTAAAGTACACAATGCATTATAGACACACAGGCTTCAAGTGGTGAGAGGGAGGCATGGAGAGGGGATGGAAAGGGATAATTAATGATACATTTAGATGACCTGATTTTAGTTTTGTTTGCCATAAGCCCTCAACTTGGTCAGAAAATTCAAAAATGTTTTTCCAGAAGAAAAAAAAAGGCTGCCCAACACTGCTGTTAGAATACTGGGATTGTGGTGCTTCACAGATCTCATATAACTTGCTGTGATGTAACAAAAAAAAAGGTTCTAGATAGGGGGCCACCAAACATCTGTGATCCTGGCCTGTCCCTATCAATGCAGCGTAATGAATACCTAATGATTTCAGTACTCGAATGCTGGCACCTGGAACAATTAACCAAGAATACATGTGTGCATTCCGAGTGAGCATCCTGACCAGTCACAGATGTTCTTTGCAAAGCAGAGCAATCATTGACCATGTCACATCAATGGGTCTTTAAAGTGTTTTTTGCATATTATGCATAGCATAGAACAGCTTGTTTGTGTTACTGTGTGGTTTGACTGTTTGTCCAAGCTGTATTGCTTCACTTCACTGTCTGACCTTAAGGGCATATTTTCTTTGATTTCTCAAATATGAAACATTGTTACTGAAAACTGTGACTACACTACAGACAAAAGGTTTGTTTGAGAAATTAACTTTGTAAAAATAAATAGGTAATAAAGAGAATGGTTATTTGTTTATTAACTAAGAACAAAAGGATTAGACTAGGGCTACATCCAAAAACATATACTATTACACTAAATAGTATGTCCAAGGGGCGCACGACCATTAACAGAGCATTCATTAGTGTAGTATGTATAATATAGTAATATGTGGTTTTGAACCCAAATGTCTGAAGCAGTGTGCAGCGACCTGATTCTTAATTTGTTTTGCTCCTAGTTCTTCTCCTGTAGAGTTTTATTTCCACTTTAATCAGATCCATCTGGTTCTCATATTTATAACCGAATCAGGTGTATTAAATCAGGAGTTTGTAAATAATTAACAAGTGGCTAATGTAAGGCAGGGGTGTCCGATCTTATCCGCAAAGGGCTGCTGTCGCCACAGGTTTTCATGTCGAACAAGCCAAGGCACACCTGATTCCACTTGTTAAATCTGTTGGTCTCTAAACAGTCTTTAAACAGCTGATCATGCGAGCTTCTGCTTTGTTAGAATGAAAACCTGCTACCATGCCAACCCTTATGCTACCAGGAGGCACCACAATGAATGCCCGTTAAAGCCAGATGATAGAGTCAGGTACATAAAAATTCAATGCAGCGCGAATTGGGTGAGTTGTGAAGTGAACAGTTTTTTTGTCATGGCCAAGGATAAAAACGAATAGCCAAACAACGGAAAGTAATCAATTCATTTCTGCTTTGTATGAGTTTAAAACACTGATCAAGTAGGCCAAAACCAAAAAAGCTACCAGCTAGCTAATGAACTAAAAAAAATAAAATAAAAAAAAAACACCCCACCACTTGTCTTTGAAAACAGCATAAGATTGGACACTACTGATGTACAGCAAAGACCATGAGGGCTGTAATATTTTAAAGTGAAAAGTATGTTCCTGCAAACTAATAGAATATTTTGGAAAAAGTTCTTTGGTTAAACTAGTTGTCAATAAACATGTTGTGTTGGCCGTTGGTAAACTGACTTAATTGTGCTTGTGTCCATGGCTTTGGTCTGTATATATCACATGATGATGTTAAAATCCCTGGTCCTGTAATTTACTGTGTAGAAGACAGAAGAGTCCAGTTAGTACTCACTATACAGTATGTTGATCAGTGAAGCTGGCATGACCAGGATGCCCACAAGCATGTCCGCCACAGCCAGCGAGCGCAGGAAAAAGTTGGTGGCATTGTGCAGCTTCTTCTCCAGTGACACTGCCAGTATTACCAAAATATTCCCTCCAATGGTGAAGAAAATGATGACCAGAATGATCAGAGCAGGCCAGTTCTTCCCATTCGGTGTGCATGTGTCTCCCAGTCCTATTTCAGAATCGTTGGATCCAAAATGGCTCTGGTTTATGGGAACAGAACAGTGCAATGAAGCCATGGTGGACCCAAAATGAAGTCTTTCAGGATCGGCCATCTTTAGCTTCTATGAGTTCTCTACAGCTGCAAGTGCCATGTGTGGACCTCTGTTCTCTCTGGGTGGTCTGAGCTGCTTATTCTGGGTTTGTGTGGCTCATACCTAAACAGAGAGCCATAGAGCTTGGATGAGAGATCACTATAAAAGAACAACACACATGTCTGTTCACAAGTAAACAAACACAAGGGGCTGTTTTTTTCAGACACATACAAAGGCTAGTTCTGGATTAACATACAAGGTCAGCGTAGATCCTCTTTCAATTGGCCTTAACTCTACATCCAGAAATCCAGCCCCAGATTCATACCACTGAATTTAAACAGGATGATCTACCCACTCTCCAGACTCATTAACAGACAATTACAATCAGCAAACCGGGACTGTACATCTTAAAGAGGGCTGCTGATTTAACCCCTAATTTAAATCTAATCCCTCTCTCCCAAAAAACTTCTTTACTACAAAATTAGACTACTACTACTGTTTACAGTTTGTCTGTATGTTCTTGTGTTTATGGATCTTTCTACTGAGAGAGTTTCTACTGTCACAGAGTTGAAAACATATTTTCGGACCTTAGGCAGACTTGGACTTTAGACTAAAATCATTTTGCGTTGCATAACCTTATACCTTAGTTATGTTTATTTTATTAAAACAAATAATTAAACATTCCACTTTGGCTCATTTTGAGCTTAACTTAAAAACCATAGCCAGTTGTATCCACAAAATCATAATATTTTTCATTAAAACAAAAAGTTTAATCAATCTGTATATTTCAGAGGTGACTATTCTTAATGTTACACACAGATTTTCAGACTTCGGGATACATTTCCTGTCAAAACAGTGGGATCTAACTGCTCACCATGTGGCCTTGAGGGACAGGGATGCAGTCTAACTTCCTGCTCTAAAATGCAGGGGTGAAGCTAAAATAAGGCTCCCCGTATGGACAATATTTCTTTAAACAAGTTTTTTCGTTATTTAAAATTAACACATGATAAATCTAAACCTTTCAACTTCACTTTAAAAAAATATTAGTCGTTTTTTTTTACTGTGGGGCCGCAGTTTGGTAGAAGGGTCTTTATATGCATGGGTTTAAATTTGTCAGCCTGAAATATTACAGGGACACTGGGATCTCTCCCAACCCCCCTGCTTTCCCACTCCGGCACTGGTAGAAGAGGAGAAATTTCATTATGATTTGAATTTGATGAAAGTAATTGTCGTGAGTCCAGTTTTTACAGAGAGCAAAACAAGACTTCTGACATTCTTTTACATTCTTTACATTTTGCTCCATTTTTGTGCAGACGTCAACCAGTCAATACAGAGCTGTAATTAAAAATGGAATTAGGTAATTACATTTGAACAGTACAGCAAAATGTAAGAAATAATTCTCAATGCCTTTGGATTAATCTGTGTTCAGGTCTTGCAGCGACAAAGTAATTTATGAATATGTGGGTGTAAACAAAATGTGAAATCAATTACCTGATTAAGCTCCAAACCGAACTAATATCAAGGCCATGATTCCACACACATTATCCAATTGCTGACTCAGCACCAGCTTGTAATGTCTTCCTCTCGTTATAGACAGGCTTATTTCACCTGACAGCTACTCCAGCCTAAACACACAAAGGGTCATCAGATGTTTGAGCGATTTTATTCAAGGTAGGAAGGCAGGTCCACTTTACATAATAGATGAACAAATATAAACATAAAACATTTTTGCCCCAAAAGACATGCAGTCTCTCAATTTTATAATAAATTCACACCAGGGAGTAGCGTGCCAAACAGAACTACTATCATAGTTTGAATATGAGGGAGGGATGATATGACTGTTTGCATGACTGAGTCTGTGTATTTAGAGCTTTATCATGTTCAGTTGCTCTTTCACAGAGAACAAAAGAAGAGCTTCCTGAGGGCCACTTTCGTAAAGCTCATGGGTCCCATCCACAGAAATGGAACTCCAGGCGATAGGAGTACAATATTCTAACTGCTGTAGAACTTGTTTAGGGTGTAGACATCCATTTTAATCACCTCAAGCTCACATTCAATTTTTCAGCACGGGACGGCCAAGACATTGCTCTCATATTTAATTCAATAAGGTGAATTATGAGCACACTGAAGCCTTCGTGTTTGCATCATTGGCAGTCAAGTCAAGCACAGCAATTCAGATCTACAAAAGTAGTAAGGCAAAAGGGGGAAGGTGCCGCCCTTAAGAACAATTTATTTTCATTTTCATTGTGCATTTTTGTCGCTTGAACAGAAATGGTCCAAATTGACTTTGAAAAAAAACTTGTTACATTAACTTCCGTGGCAAGTTAAGAATGTTTGTTTCTTCTTCTGTAAAGTTACCACTTTGGATATTACAAGGTTTTGTTTCAATAGTGACAATGGACAGGATAACAGTACATAAACCAGCCCATCGAAAACGGTAATTAAATGGAAAAAGCAGCCAGCTTTGGTTTAATAGCATAAAAATCTTGCAGGGGCTCCAATATTGGGGCAACATGCCCTCGCTACCTCGGGTAAGAAGCCATCCTGGTGAATCTTGCATGAGTTTGTAATCAGGTTTTATAGAATGTATAATTTAGATGTCAAATCATTTCAGCACATATCACACAAATAAGCACATTTGGTTTTGCCCTCTTAAAACCAAGTGAATTATTTTCTGCATGACCCACACTAAAACAAACTGTAAAATTTATAGTAAATTATTGTATATTTATGGTATTTTTTCCCCACTATGCATTGCATTGTCTGGTATGTTACTGTAAACCAATGCAGTTACTGTAAATGCTCAATCTTTTACAGTATAATCCTGTAAAATAAACCAGTATTTTTTTAATAAATACTGTTAATTTACAGCATTTTTTACAGTGCACATAAAATCATATGTTTTAAAAAAGTTTAAACTTAACAATTTAACAATGTCAAAAGATTAGATCAACCGACCCTAAAAGGTTGCCATCATTTAGTTGATACACAGATATTCAGTAGTCATAGTTTAGCCTAATCAAAGGATCATAAAAAAGTGGGGCACATCTCACCCAGGGCTTCTTCCTCCAGGCTGCACTACTATACTTCGACTGTGCAGCTACTCCAATTTTCTGTCTACGCATCTTTCCAGCTATGAAACTGTATCCATTTCTAATGTAGCGCACTTAAGCGCACCAGTCTAGCTCAAGTGACAGCCGTCACCCGAAATGTCATTTCTGACTCTGAACAGCGGTGTGGTGCAGATCGTGTAATAGCTCTTGGATCAGTAAATGAACTCTGACAGATGGGGAGAAAGCTTTAGGCGTCCAAACACACGCACAGATGTTTCACTATAGTGTCACAAGAAAGAGCTCCGTTGTGGACGCTTCTCATTATGAAATCAGCCGGGATGCTTCTGGAGTTCCCACTGTTATGCACATGTAGCCCCCCAAGAGCGCCCACAGGGATCGCTCTTATGCAAGCATCGGTGCACTCTGTCAGTTATCAGATTGTATCTCTGTCATGAGTTTATACCAGCTATATGAGAGGGACTGTGAAACAGTCTGTTATGAATGATAAATGAGTGAAGCGAATTTTTGACTTTCTTCATTTAAAAATGTTTGAGCGGCTAACAGTGCATGAAAGCTAATAGGAAAACATCATTATATTAACTGCTTTCATTTATTATTAGTAATCTCAGCATTTTTAGTAACATACTGTAGTTTATTCTACAACAACTCTGTATTGTACCGCTACTGATCTGTAAAGATGATGCCTTTTCAATGGCTTATAAATTTGTGAGCCATTCTATGAAGATGTAAACAAACTAAAACGGCTCTTTGTAAACACCAAGGGTTGTTATTGTGTCGATGGCCCTGTGATTGAAAAGGGGCACCATTCTGTTCCTCAGTACCCCTTCCTTTAGCTCTACCAGTCTTTCTCAACCCTGAATCTGCAGTAGAAATGATTGGTGAGGGTTGTAGCATGGGGTACGTTGAATCACCACCAGCTTTTACCAATCAGAGATAAGATACATGGGTAATATCACTATTACACATGCCAAATAATAATAATTTCTTTGTGGACGTGCTTCTCTATTTCTTTTAAAACTTATGCCATCTACTGTTACACCTCTCCTGGTAGTGGAGCAGGTTGTAGCAAGAGAAGTTTGTAGGTGACACCAACTAATTTTGTGAACAATTTGCAGATTCCAACTCTACTGTTATTTTTAAAATACAAATCTTATGTAAAATTATGAAGCATAGCACAAACAAGCACTACAGCAGAGTGTTTCTGATTGATCAGAGTAACTGAGTTAGTAAGTTGAGTTAGGTGTGTTAGTGAAGGGAAAACACCACAAAACAGGACAGGTTTGCTCCAGGACCAGGGTTGGGAACCACTGAGGTATACTAATAATACAATACAGAAACAGGGCTAAGGGACACGTGGGATAACTGTACTTTCGTACACAACATCACATAGATCACAGCTTTATACATTGCCTCAACTCAACTAACAAATACAGCGTCACCTTGCACGGTGGAGAAAATCACTACTGATAACTGAGCAATTTTTAGAAAGGCTCTCCCTCAAGCAAATATTTAGTGGGGCTGATGATTCGATGCGTTAGAGAGGCCAAATTCCACTTAGTCACCTCTGTCGCTCTTAAAATACTCACTGTGTGGAGAGTGCAGAAACATGCCCAAGAGCCAGAAAAGAACATTTAAATATTTCAAACTAACCGTCATAAGGAATGAAGATGAGAAGAGGTGAAACGTGCCCTTGACATTTATGATGTGCCTCTAAAAGACCTAGGTTTTTTTTATATTTATCAAGTTTACTACAGAAAGAGAGCTAATCTGAGACAGATCTCTTCAGGCCATATACAGTCAGGTCCATAAATAGTTATTTTTATTTTAGCTGTGTACCACAGCATATTGGAGTTGACATTAAATAATGAATATGAGATCAAAGTGGAGACTTCAGCTTTACTGCCTGAAGTTTGGAACCCACAGACATTACCCAACACTGGGTGTCTCCCCTGGCGATACTCTGCCAAGCCCTTAGAGCAGCTGTTTTTGATTCCATCTTTTTCTCAGGACGGTATGGTTGGACGTATGGTTGGATGGCACTTCACATTGCCCATCTGCAATTTGAAGTGCCATACAATGAGTTTTGAAGTGTTTAGCTGAATTTAAGCAGATAATATAGAACTAGACACTTCAGTATTCCACCTACTGCTTATGTCACCAGTCACATCGTCAATTAATACAAGTGAACCAGTTCCACTGGCATGCCTATGCCAAAACACTACCTCCACCATGCTTGACAGATGAGGTGATATGCTTTGGATGATGAACAGCTCTTTCCCTTCTCCATACATTTCTCATCATTTAGGTACAAATTGATCTTTTTCTCATCTGCCCATAAAATGTTTTCAAATGTTTTTGGCAAACTCTAATCTAGCTTTCTTGTTTTTGAGGCTTATCAACGGTTTATATCTTGTAGTAAACCTTATTTACTGTGGTGAAGTCTTCTCTTGGTTGTTGACTTGGACGCAGATACATCTCCCCCGGATGGTATTCTTGATCTGGCCAAGTCATCTGTAAAGGGGTTTTTCTTCACTGGGGACAGAATTCTTCTGTCATCCTCCACAGTTCAGTGGACTTCCAGGCCTTTTAGTGTTTCTGAGCTCACTAGTATTTTCTTTCTTTTTAAGAATGTTCCAAATATTTAATTTGGCTACACCTAATGTTTGTGCTGTCTCTCTGATGGGTTTGTTTTGATTTTGATTTATGATGGCCTAATAATGACTTTCTTCACTGGCACTGACAGCTTTTTGGACTTCACATTGAGAGTTAATGACAACAGATTCCCCATGCAAATACTACACCTGAAATCAAGCTAAACCTTTTATCTGCTTATTTGTAAGTGAAATAACGAATAGTTTTATTTGCTTATTTGTACGTAAAATAATGAATAACACACACCTGGCCATGGAACAGCTGAGCACCCAAATGTCCAATTACTTTTGAGCCCATAAAAATGGGGGGCTATGCATCAAGGTGCTTTTAATTCCTATACCATTTACACAATTTGAATGTAAACAACCTCAAATTAAAATTGAAAGTCTGCACTTTTGGCTCATATTCATTATTCTCTCCAATGTGATGTGGTAGACAGCTAACATAACATAACTTTGTCTATGTCCAAATATTTAAATCTCACTCTAACTGTAAATGTTGGGATATACAAGACAAATATTAGCCCAGATCAGTCCTCAAATGTCACATGTCACAGTATAAAATACTGTCTTCTAGCTGCATTCTTCTTATTAAGGGACATATGTGTTTATTACAACATGACAGCATCATGCAACATTCTGTGTTACAACAGCATGACTGCATAATCAAAGAGTGTGAGTGCTACACTGGCATAGTGCAGTCCATATTTTCTTGGAACTGAGGTTTGTAGTTGAAGGGAAAATCTTTAATTGGTGTAGATTTAGTAACATTATGTGGAAGATTTTTTGCACATTTCATTTACAAAAATTATTATTTAAAGAACTAGTTTTTTAGGCAATCAAAAGTGGTTGATCGAAGTCATCGCTTGGAAGAGGCATCTTTTGGCACCTTTGTTTTTAAGAGTGTACGAGAGGTGAATGTATCCCCATCTCAACTTCGAGTTCAGCTCAGTTACAGTGTCCAAATGTCACCAGACGTTAAGGAGAACGACCTGACTGTTGAAGAGCCCAGGGACAAAGCACACATTAGAAAACGGCTAGATGACGGTTTTGTGACTACACCCTATGTAGGGAATGAAAGAAAGCCACGGGCACATGACCTTTAATAACAATGAGAAATAATAATGTAATAAGCTTGACAGGTGAGGAGGGCCAGCTCTATCGTTATGACCACATTATTTATTAACGAAGCTGACATCAGCAGTAGTGATGTGTTTGATCGTAATACTCGGAGACAGACAATGTCACAAATACTATCAGCTCTCTGCGATAGGCTGCCTTCTGCCTTGGAGGAAGAGGCATGGTAGATTAAAAGCTCTTAAACTGTAACTTAACTGCAACTTAAACTGCAGCTTTACTGTTCACTTATAATAAAGCTTGTTATTCAAAATCTACTATGAAATATTCAGTAATTATATGCTAATCATAAACTAATAAGAGAGCTTGTGAGGGATGTTTTTAGAGTTTAATGAGTTAAATCCCAGATTTCATCTCTATAAATGTTCTCCAGATCTGAAGCAATAAAACACAAGCAGGCAAAGTGGGATGGTTTTAACGTCCTTGACTCGAAAACAGCTTGGGGTCTTTTCATGATCAGAAACACACTTACTGTGCTTATTCACTCTGACAAATCCAGACACTGACATCCAAAGTGTCAATCCTCTGTCCTGTAGCAGACTGTCTAACACTTTCTCTGTGAAAAGAGCAAAAGAAAAATAAAATTGACAGCTGAAACAGTTCACCACTGTCCATTCTTTCAGGTGACTTTGAGAGCCTAAAAAAAGCTTAATAAAAAGAACAACAATGTTGTCGGAATGGAATACTGTATGGGGGAAAGAAGTGGCCTGGGGCAGCAATCAGATTCCTCTCAATCAGTTCAATACAGCAAAATTCTAATGACTTTCTGTGGCACTCAGGACAGCTGGCGTCAACAGTAATCCTCTCTTACTGTCTAGTTTCTGTTGTCTGAAAATGCTTTTCCACACACATCTTGCAAAGCCTGCAAATTAGTGATCAATAACACAAGTGCATCTATTTACAAGCATCAGCATGCACAATTAGACCAGAATGTGTCTATTCACAATTTATTTACTAACATGTGGACCATAGAGGCAAACTAGAGTATCATGGGTTTGTCAATTAAATTTGTGCTTAAGGCTTGGTTAAGGCTACTATTTTTAAAGCACAGCCCTAGATGAACTTTAGCATGGCCACAAGCAGCATACAACTCACGTAATCTTAAAGTGCCAGTATCCTACATTTTTCAGGAGACTGTTAATGTGTGGCTAGGCCATTGCTATGTTATCCCAGGTGGTTGCTAAGGTGTTGCTTGGCGGTTGCTATGTTATCCCAGGTGGGTGCTAAGGTGTTGTCTGATCATTGCTATGGTATCGTGGGTGGTAATGTTTAATAATTGGGTGCTAATATGTTTGTATGTATGCGTGCTCAGTGTGCAAAATACCCCCTGGTATTCAGGGAGTCCCATGTTGGCTGGCTTCTCCAGCGTTATCAGGCTGCTAACTCTCTCGCCATAGTGACACTGATTGGTTTAACAATTCTTCTGAAAATGGTATTTTCTAGTTTATTAATGCGCTCTTCCGCACATTCATTGAGATCTCCTTTTGTGTCTTCGGTTTAAGAAATGAGTAATAACTCTTTGTACCAGTCTCTTGGGAAACTGGGCAAGTTTTCATATTTACAATTATGCTACAGTATACTGTAAAGTTTTTCAGAGGTATCTTAGCATACTTTTAGTTGCTAGGCTATTAAGGACGAACTGGGTGAACCAGTTTACTACACCCTGAGGCAGACCAGTGCTGCATCTCTAGTTAATTAAAAATACCAAAGACAGAAGCTTGATTGTGGGTGAAGCAGGCAAAGCAATGGCCTTTCCCAGAATTTGTATTTGAGTGCCTGTTTTTTCAGACAGCATTACATCATAATAAGTTTATTTTCAGGGACCCCCCAGAATTTTGATTTTGAGACATTCAGGGGCCCATGGTTTAATTAGGAAGTCCAGACCCCTCAGGACCCCTTGTATTTCACATGTTGTGTGTGCTACTAAGTATGTGGGCCTGTAAGTAATATATATATAGGGGTCAGTGTGAGAGGTGTCCTCTGTCTATTTTACCTGTTTAAAGAGTGATGTTTTATCTATTGTCAATCACTCCCAGCTCTCTGGTCGTTTTCCCCCCTGCTTTCAAAATTGCTGTGATCAGGCCTTTTCTAAAGAAAAACAACTTGTCTCCATCAGTTCTCAGTCATTTTAGACCAATCAAACATTCCCTTTTTAAGCAAGGTTCTTGAGAAAATTGTTTTTAAGCATCTAAACTTGAACAATTCTTTATTTGAAAAAATTTAGTCCGGCTTTCACGAGCATCATAGTAGTGAGACCACTTCAGTTACTGTCGTTAAACACATACGACTCAGTCTTGATGACCATAACATATTAACTGATAGACTGCAAACATGGGTTGGTCTTTCTGGCTGTGCTATTAACTGGTTTAGATTTTGTCAAATAGCAATTTTTGTGTCACTCTGAAATTATTCAACCTTCTTGCCATGTTGGGAACTATTTTATTCACTCATTAAATGCTACCATCTGGACCCATAATTAGAGAGCATTTTCATTGCTATGCAGAAACACAGTTACATATTTCAGTTTCACCTGATGACACAGGCCCTTTAGACAGGTTAGTTAAATGCATTGACTGTATGAATATTTGGATGTCTCATAATTGTTTCCAACTGAACAGAGACAAAACTGAAATCCTCATCATTTAGTTCACAGTGCAGAGAGAGAAAGTTTCCTGTTTAAAAAAACTTTAACAAACAATTCAAGTTCTTTTGTTAACAATTTTGGGGTATTTTTAGACTCAGATTTAAATTTGAAATCCATATTAAAAATGCCATCAGAACTGCCTTTTATTGTTTTAGAAATACTGCAAGGGTACAATAACTCTCCACTTCCACGGATGTGGAAAAGCTTATTCATGCTTTTATAACTAGCTGGTTAGACCACTGTAATGCCATTCATTCAGGTCTCCCTAAGAAAGCCATTAATATGTTACAATGGATTCAAAATGCTGCTGCACGTGTTCTCATCAAGACCAAATAGCAAGCCTGTATTACTCCTGTCCTAAAACTGGTTACCCATTAGTTACCAAATTAGAATTGATTTTGAAATACTTTCATTAGTTTTGAAATCTGTTTGTGAACTAGTCCCCAAATATATGTTGAACATGATTCAATTTTATGAACTAAGCAGATCCCTCCAGTTCTCTGGCCCTAATCTACTCACAGTTCCCAGGACAAAGAAATACGGAGAGGCGGCTTTTAGTGTATGTGGCCCTCACCATTGGAATCGCCTGCCAGAGAACCAAACAGAGCGCGTTAACGTATACTTAAGACTTACTTTTTTACTAGATACTTACTTTTATTAGATACTTATTGATTAATATTCAACTTCTTTTTATTATTTTATTTTTTGTAGTTTTATCAGCTTAATTATGTTTATTTCATTTATGTGTTTTCTTTTTAACCTTTAACTGGTTATACATTTTGTTTGATGTTCTTGTTTCCTTCGTTCTGTTTTCAGGGTCTTTGTCTGTATGTCAATCTGTAAAACACTGAATTACAACTGTGTGTAGGAAAAGTGTTATTTAAATAAAGATTTGACAGCTTGCTTGATTTGATTTATGACACTTAGATTTGAATTTTCTCAACATTCCAGCATTCATATCCAATGGGGAAAAAATCATGTTTGAACATTCGCTGTATGAAACTCGTATGGCAATCGGTCTCAAAAGCACAAGCGCACTATTCCTGTATAGGCTCTACGATCCAGCAAGGTTTCCTGGTTCTAGCTTGAAAACTGTGACTTGTGAGCAGCAATGTTTATCTACTATATCAACATCTTTTTTTCCGAAAAAGTGAGGAAAATTTCATTTTATGCAATATGGGCTATTTAACCCCTTAAAGCCACAGGCTTATTACATACTAAGGATTATTATTCAGTAACTACAGGGAGTTCAAAGCAAACTGGCTGAGCTATTCTTTGGTTACAGAAGTGTGCAATAAAACTTTTACCATTTAGGTGTTAAACATTCATTTTGGCTCATGTTGAATTACTTGGTTTCATTCTTGTGAAAATAGACAATCCTACAATGAGATCAGATTGATATTATTGTATATATAATATTGTCAAGTACTGTTTAAAGCCTGACAGACTGCCTATTTTCCTGTGTAGTGCCTGGTTGTTTTCCATTCTTTGAAATGACACTGTGAGGACCACTCATTTAAATACAATGAATAAGAGAGTGCCATCTGAAAATAAATATTAAAAATGTGTGAAGGGATGCAGAGACACAACAGGAAGCATGAATATTAATGTGACCACTGGCAGCCCTCCACTGTTTTAGAGATTTATTTTGTTTGTGTTTGTGAAGAATGCAAAAAATTAGTAGCTTTCATAATTACTCACTGTCCTCATACTATAATCTCTGATCTGACATTTCTGTCCTACAGACTGCTGTATGTTAAGTCATGTTAAACCTCACTATGTTAAACTGCAGTGCGGTGAGCTACATCTCCTAAAACTGACGCCACAGATGGACGTCACCATTTTCTGATTTATTGTTAATTTATTATTCATGACTGTCCTGTGAAATCTAACGCCTGCTGAAGATACTGCTCACATATTCAAAAACAATGAGATCAATGACGCATTTATGACTTGGTGACCTCACTTATGTCACACTACAGAGATGCACCTGCCTCCTTTTGACAAGGACTCAGGCATGCGCCCCTTGAACTATACAATTATTAAACATATTGTTACTGTTGTATCAAAACTTGTATTTTTGTTTTGAGAATGGACCAACAGAAATGGTGCTAAATTACTTGAAATAAAATTTTGTAACATCAACATACACTGAAGAACATTTTCTCCAGTAAGGGTACTGTTTTCTAAGATACAGGGTTTAATTACATCAGTGACAATATGCAGATTCAATGTAATTTATTTAGCATGTCATTCTGTAAAATGAGATCAAAGCTGGAAGCAATAATCCAAGAACCAATGACAATTCTGGTCTACTATCTACAAATCTATGAAACATTTTATTCTAGAAGTTAGAAATCTATGAAAATTGTGCTCTAGAATTCAGGAATCTATTAACTATTTCCACACAAATGTCTAAAACTATAAAGATTTTGCTCCAAGATCAACAAATCTATTAAAAGTTTATTTTTCACAAAAATGTCCAAAGCTATGTTCCCTGACTAAAGGTACTGAGATGTACCCTTGAGGGTACCATCCAGGGACAAGAGGGGTACTGCCCCAATGACAGTTTTGTGCCTTTTTCTCTGAGAGTGTATGAAAATTTGCTCTAGAATCTATTAATCTATGAAAACAATTTGCTAATTTTGCTCTAGAACTTAAAAACTTGTGACAGTTTGCTAGAGAATTCATTTAAATTTATAGAACTTGATTTTTTTCTTGTAAAAAACAAACTATGACGCTTTGCTCTATAGTCTATAAATCTATGAAAAGTTTGGTGTAGAACCTATGAAAATGTTGCTAAAGAATTTACAGACGTATGAAATTTTTGCTTTAGAAATGACAAATTTCTGAATATTTTGGCCCAGCTTTTGCCTTGCAATTCAGCCTCCTCCTGTGCTGTTGTTACATTGTCATCATTTTTAGCTGTTGCTTGTTGACAGTGGTATCACCACGAGTCATGAGGCCAGACACGTAGATCACACAACTGCAATACAAAGTAGTTTCCATAGTCACTCTGCTGAGGAAAAGGCAAGCTTGACACATGGTTAAAGCTCATTCTGCTCTAAAATGACAAAAGGAAATTAATTCCTTAAATAATTCCTTAACTTTTGCTCTAGAATCTATAAAGCTAAAAAGAAATTTGCTCTAGATATTATAAATCTATTAAAAATTGGTGTAGTATCTTTTCAATCCATGACAATTGCTCTAGAATCTACAAATTTAAGAGAATTTTGCTCAGGAATGAACAAATCTTTGACAATTTGCTCTCAAATCTCTGAACATGGACATTTTACTATAGAATATATGAAAATGTTCCTAAGGAATTTACAAATATTGTAAAATTTTGTAAAAATTTTGTTCTGGAAATGACACATCTGTGAACATTTGCTCTAGAAACTATACATTTTTGGCCCAACTATATATTTTTGGCCCAATTTTTGCTTTGCAATTCAGTAACATCATCATCATTTTTAGCTTTTGTTTGTTGACAGTGGTGTCAGTCACGTATCAATGCAGGTCATGCGCCTAGACACGCAGATCACATAACTGAAATACAAAGTAGGTTTCATAATTCTCTACATGTTGAGGAAAAAAAAAACCTTTTTTCTACTTGACACATGGTAAAAACTCATTGGACAGAGTCATTTCTCAAATGCATTCTTGTTCTTGTGAAAAATCTTACTTATTTTACCTTAAAACACTCCATGAGCCACCTTTGCGAGAAAGAAATCCTTAAGAAAAAATAAGAAAAGCCAACGTTCTCAAGGAAGCGCTCCGGTTAGTGGAACCTACGGACTTGATTGCACAGATGTACTGATGCATGTCCTTTCCTAAGAAACACACTTAGCTTATCAACCACTGAAAAACGTCCACTATCAAATAAACCATATGACTCCTTTTGCACCTGCAGTGTGGAAAAAAGCCTGCAGGCATAATCTCCTGTGACACGTCTACAGAAATTGCAAAGCAACGGTAGGATTGGTGTCCTTGTAAGAACTGCGTGCCAGGTGTATCCTCGAAATGATCCGTTTGTGAACAAGTATTTCAGCTTTCATAAGCCAAAGAGTTCAGGGGGAGATTACATCAATGAGAGGTAAATCCACACGACCTGATGAGGTCTTGTTTTAGAGAAGTGCTGCTGGTGGCAGCATGAATAGAGGTGCCGGTCTGATCTGAGGGTTATCTATCAGTTGCAGGTGCAAACATTTGCAGATGCAGGCATAAATGCAGCAGTCACACACACCTGCATTTCTTTACTGCACCTTGACAAATGTAGAGATGAATAAATGCACAGTAAAGGATATCTTCTGTGGCTTAATTCCTTTGAAATTATAACTTCAATGACCCATAATGTGGAAGCTACACATTTTTTCTGACATTTTGAAATAAAGTTTGATATAGAATGTAAACACACTGTTCACTCTGCAGTCCATACAGTCCATATATGCAAACTACACTGCAAGAACAGCCTGTTTTGGTTCATTTACATATATCCATCTATTCAGTCTACAGCAGTTTAGCTCCGCCCATTCACTCTGAATATTTCCTGCAATTTATTTTTCATTTTTCAAGTCATAATTCCTTTTTATGTGACCGTTTTCCAACCTCCCTTTATCTCTTAAAATGAATCAGTGCCTTTAAGACTTATGTAAATAAGCTCTGTTCTGATTGGCTGCCCTATTTTGTACCATTATGCAAGTCCAGCCTGAAACACTCCTTAAAACTTGTCAATGGGCGGGGCTAAAATGCTGCGGGCTAAATAGGAGTGTATGTGTAAATGTGTTGGTTTTCATGCCATCACAGAAATATAGAGTATGAAAAACAGGCCGTTTTCACAGCTTAGTTTCCATTTATAGACTTGATGGACTGGGGAGTGAAACTTCAACAATGTTTGCATCCTACATTAGTCTTTTATTTCAAAAAAGAGAAGAAAAATCGTTTTTCTATGGTATAGGCTCTTTAAGGTGTGTTTCAGCCTGGACTGATTTTTTAGGTAAAAAATTACATAAAAATGAAGGATCACTTTTTTGGTATTTAAATCCACAAACAGGCCATAAGTGGACGTCAAGGTGGACATAAAATACAACATGAATGTAAAGTATGAGCCACAAATATTCACATTCACTGATGCCGATTTCACTATTAACTTAATTAGGAAGTTTCCAGAATGTAACAGTTGCTTACGTCAGTACATGTCAGAAGCACGTGCAGTTGGTTATTTACCTCAGTATTTTCCGTATAGTGAATATTTACCACAGATATCAAACAAGCCTCTGTTGCCTGTCATACAATGATTTTTCAAAATGTCTCCGTAACTCATTAATGTGAACAAAGTCTCTCAGAGCGGTTTGGTGTGGAATGGTTCACTGTTGTAAGCGGTGTTCAGATGTGTAGAGACGTCAGGCAGAACAGAACAGGTAAACTGGTTAATGTAACCTTAACTCACAGGGAAAAAACACCAAATAACCAAACGATTCTTCTCTGAGTAAGATGAAACATTAACACTTACCCGTCGTGTGTTTAGTCTGGAGGTCTGCTGTGGAAGTTTTCTCTCAGGACCCCCTCAGAGCGGAGTCAGTCAGTCAGTGAGCAGTGAAAGAGCCTCCGCGGCTCTTCAGGAGCCGTTAGACTTTAGAACACTGAACACAGAGACAGCAGAGACAGCCGCAGGTCAAAAACCTCGATTATCAAAAAAAACAAAAAAAAACAGAATCCGGAATATGAGAGAAGGAACAGCATCGGCTGAGAGAACGGAAAGACTTCGCTTAGCCTTGAGTGGGATTAGCGGAGAAACGCAGCCTGTCTGCGGTACGAACAATTACAGCGAGAGAGAGAGAGAGAGAGAGAGAGAGAGAGAGAGTAAGTGAGAGTGAGAGAGAGAGAGAGAGAGAGAGAGAGAGAGAGAGAGAGAGAGAGAGAGAGCATATGATTCCCAAAAGAATCCACATAATAATGGATAGATAGATAGATAGATAGATAGATAGATAGATAGATAGATAGATAGAAAGCATATGAATGAATTCCCAAATTAATATACTCTTCAAAATAAAGGTGCCAAAGAGGGTTCTCTGTAAGATTCCATAGAAGAACCACATTTGGTTCTCTTAAAGAACCTTTCAGTGAATGGTTCTTTAGAACAAATTAGATTTGTGAGTGTGAAGACCCTTTTTAAAGTTGGAAGAATCTCCATATAATTTGAAGGTTCTAAGAAGAACCCCTAAATTAGTAAAGAAGGCTACAGAAAGCCTCTACAAGATTCAAACATAGTTCTCATGGAACCAAAAGTGTTCTTTTTATGGCATTGTTCAAAGAAGCATTTTTGCTCATTTTTTAAATAGAATAGTTCTGTATTTCTTAATCTAGTGCAAAATAATTAGCAAAAATGTGAAAGCTAGCTAGCTAGCTAGCTAGATAGATAGATAGACAAACTCTTAACAAAATATGGTTCTTCAAGGGTTCTTTAGTAAAGGGAATGGTTCTATTTAGAACCATACGTTCTATAGAGAGCCACGTCATGCTTAAATGGTTCTTTGCATGGAGAATGCGTTGTATTTGTATATTGTATACAATGTCAAGCTTGTATCAATAGAAGAACCCTTTTTGGTGCTATATATATATATAGAACCATATACAGCACATTCTCCATCATTCAGAAGAACCATTTCACCATGCACAGAACCTTTTAGGCATGAAATGGTTCTGTATAGACCTCATGGTTCTAAATAGAACCATCCCCTTTACTAAAGAACCCTTGAAGAACCATCTTTTTTTTAAGAACGTAAATAAAGAGTGACAATATGAATGAATTCCCAAATGAATCTGTGCAGTTCTACCATTGACAGTCTCAACTGACTTAAACCCTACTCAGCTTGTCAACTCTGAATTGTAAATTGTAAATCTTTTAGGGTTCTTTTGTTGCTGCTGCAGCTCACTTCATTTGAATATGACTGGGCTAAAATGTGAGTAGTGTATTTATGAATAATTCTTGCATTCTGATATTTTGGAAGCCCTCCATCTGTTCTAGCTCAGGGCTGTGCTCCAAGCGCCCACACATAAATGAGATGCAGATTTCAGCACACACTCAGAGAGAGTCAAAATAAGCTGACCTTAGCACTATACTCATCATTGTCAAAGCCACTTTCAAAACATTCTCATTTCCCCCCACATTCTGAAATAAGAGCTTCTGTCCCAGCTCTTCTACTCTTTTAGGCCAACAGTTCTGCTTGATGAAGACTTCATAAAATGGCTTTGAGCCCCAAGTGGAGTTGATGTACTGTACTCACTATGTGGCCAAAAGTATATGGACTTTCATGCCTACCTGAGCTTGCTGGATGTTCCATTCACAAACCATTGGCATTAATATGGAGTTGGCCCCCTCTTTGTGGCTATAACAACAAAAAAGGAAGTATATAATTCTCTAAAATGTCTTTGTATGGCGTACCATTCCTTTCTCTAGAATCTAGCCCAAACCCCGAAAAACAGCCCCAGACTAATTCCCCTCCTCCAACAAGCTTTACTTTTGGCACTATGCATTCCAATAGGGAGCGTTCTCTTGGCATCTGCCAAACCCAGATTCATCCAATAGACTGCTAGATAGTGAAGTGTGATTCATCCACTCGAAATAATTTTTCCACTGCTCCAGAGTCTAGTGGCAGCATACTTTACACCACTCCAGCCAACGCTTGGCATTGCACATGGTGGTCTCAGGCTTGTGTGCTACTACTTGGCCATGGAAACCCATTTCATGAATCACCTGACACACAGTTCTTGTGCTGATGTTGCTTCCAGAGGCAGTTTGGAACTCTTTTACACGTTACATGCTTCAGCACTTGGCGGTCCCGCTTCGTAATTTGTCATGGTCTACTACTACTTTATGGCTGAAGTGTTGTTGCTCTAAGACGCTCCTCTCTGAGCTCTGCGGTATGAGCCGTTCTACTGTTAATGTTTGTCTATTTGACTTCGTACACCTGTTAGCAATGGGTTAAACCTTCATATTTAGTTACTAATATCTTTTTTATGTTGAATATCAATATGTTTTGTAGCCACACTGCAATAGGTCACGCCTTATCATTTGGCAAAGTGCATCAAAAGTAGATGAAACTTTAGTTCACGGGAAGAGCAATGCACAAGCTTACGGCACAGTGTTGGACAAACATTATCTACCCAATCTACAAACGTCATCAGAAGGTAACCTTACCTGTGATCTTATCACAAAAGCCAGCATTTTAAGTACTCAGAACAACACATAGATAAGCCACAGGCACAGTGATGTAATCAAAGATGAACTCTTTGGCACCAAAGATATGTTTGGAGGAAAAGAAAGCATTTCAAGAATATAATGCCTTGCCTACTGTTAAGCATGGGGGTGGATATGTTATGCTTTTGTAATGCAGCCAGTGGCACAGAAAATGTGGGGCTAGAGGGATGAACTGATTCTACTAAATATCAACAAATCCAATATGCAAGACAACTTACACTCACTGGGCACTTTATTAAATACACCTCCCTTTATTTATATTTATTGCCCATTTTATCAGCTGGTCAGTGGTGGTAGTGTGTTAGTGTGTGTTGCACTGGTATGAGTGGATCAGACACAGCAGTGCTGCTGGAGTTTTTAAACACCTCAGTGTCACTGCTGGACTGAGAATAGTCCACCAACCAAAAATATCCAGCCAACAGCGTCCTGTGGGCAGCGTCCTGTGACCACTGATGAAGGACTAGAGGATGACCAACACAAGTTGTGCAGCAGCAGATGAGCTATCGTCTCTGACTTTACATCTACAAGGTGGACCGACAAGGTAGGAGTGTCTAATAGAGTGGACAGTGAGTGGACACAGTGTTTAAAAACTACAGCTGTGACACACCACCACCACATCAGTGTCACTGCAGTGCTGTGAATGATCCACCACCCAAATAGTACCTGCTCTGTGAGGGTCCATTGGGGGTCCTGACCACTGAAG